CGCGGGCTAATTTTACCACCCTCTATCAATGTGCATGTTTAAACATGTCAATGTGAATATCACATTGATACGGGTCAGGCCAAACCTGTTACTCGGCGACGGTCGAAAGACTTCGGGCGCCCCACGGGCGCGGGCCATTTTTACACTTCTTATCAATTAGTGAATGTTAACACATGTCAATGTGAATATTCACATGTTTAACGGGCCGGGCGGCCCGGCCCCCGGGCCGCGGGGCCAATTTTACACTCCTATTAATGTGAATGTTAACATGTCAATGTAAATATTCACATTGTCAACGAGCCGGACCGGGCCCGCCCCGGGCCGCGGGCGGGCTTCGCTCCGCCACGAGACAGGGGCCAATTTTACACTTCTATTAATGTGAATGTTAACATGTCAATGTGAATATTCACATTGTCAACGGGTCGGGCCGAGCCAAGTCGGGCCCGCCCTGGGCTGCTGTCTAGTTTTATACTCTTATCAATGTGAATGTTAACATGTCAATGTGAACATTCACATTGTCAACAGGCCGGGCCAGGCCCGTCCACGAGTCGCGGGGGGGTTTCGAGCAGCTACGAGGCACGGGCTAATTTTACACTCCTATCAATGTGAATGTTAACATGTCAATGTGAATATTGACATTGTCAACCGGCTGAGCCGGGCCCGCCCCAGGCTGCGGGCGGGCTTTTGGCCGCCCATGGGCCGCGGCCCAATTTTATACTCTTATCTATGTGAATGTTAACATGTCAATATGAATATTCACATTGTCAACAGGCCGGACCGAGCCCGCCCCGGGCCGCCTATGGGCCGCGGGACAATTGGTAATGCTACTTTAAACCTTAGGAAGGGGATTGTAATTTCTAAAATATAAGGAGTGTCAATATAATTTACCCAGGAAGAGCAAAATTAGCATTTAAAAAAAATTAAATTGCTAAGGGGGGAATCTGTATTGAAACTTTAAACCTCAGGGAGGGAGATGTAATTTCCAAAACGTGAAGGGGGAACTGTAATAAACATAAACCTTAGGGGGTGTCTGTGTAATTTACCCTATATATATATATATATAATCGCACTTAATTAGAAAGTGACATAAAAAATAAATATTATCACACTCAATCAGATTAAGTGTGATTAAAAATTTGGGAATTGTATATTTTATATAAAAATCAATTTAAAATATTTTATACAATCACACTTATTTAAAAAGTGTGACTAAAAAGTAGTAATGTATATATAATCACATTTTAATTACCTTAAAAATATATATAAATAATCACACTTATTTAAAAAGTGTGATTAAAAAGTAATAGTGTATATATAATCACACTTTAATTAGAATGTGTGATTAAAAAATATATATAAATAATCACACTTTAATTAGAATGTGTGATTAAAAAATATATATATAATCACACTTGTTTAAAAAATGTGATTAAAAAGTATATAATCACACTTTAATTAGAAGGTGTGATTAAAAATATATATATAATCACACTTGTTTAAAAAGTGTGATTAAAAAGTATATAATCACACTTTAATTAGAATGTGCGATTAAAAAAAAATATATATAATTACACTTGTTTAAAAAGTGTGATTAAAAAAATATATATATAATCACACTTAATTGAAAAGTGACATAAAAAATAAATATTATCACACTCAATCAAATTAAGTGTGATTAAAATATCAATCTAATTTTTTTTTATCACACTTCCAATAAAAGTGAGATCTTTTTTTTTATCAAAGTGTGATCTTTAACTATTTTTGTAGTAGTGTTGTTTGGCAACCCGTCGCCATGCCACTGTTGCCTCTGTTAGCACTGTTCTGTACCTCTGAGAACTATGAAAATATTTGTGATGCTTCTGGAACACTCCCATAGCACTGTGGGATGTCACCGGCCATAATGAAAGTCCACCGGCCACTGGAATACAGTTATCGACCAAAAGTGGGACCATCGGCTAGACTTTGGTAGCCGGCCGGCACTAAAATTGGTCGACCGG